TTCAGCTGGTGATGCTCGCCGTCTGGTGGAACCTCGCCACGCTGCCTCTGGCATGACGATGAGCCATGAGGACCCGGTCCAGCACACCGACGGTCGAAGCACGAAGGCCTTACACGTAGAGGACACGGAGTATTGGAGTACACGGTGTTGCATGCGCGGGGAATACAGCAACCACGGCGCGCCGCAGGCGCGACCCGAGAAAAGGCCAGACACGAGGGACGAGCGTGAACGGGAGCCCCACCTCAAATTTTCTCTCCTCCCCACACCCCCGGCATTGTGCTCGTGGCTTAGCGGGTTCGACCTGCAGATGGCTTAGCGGGATCGCAGGCGCCACCCCGTCCCGACCAAAGAAGTGCGAGGTACTCGTGCTGTGCCATCCCAAACTGTCCCTCCTCTCTCTCGCTCCCGGCCTGGGCCTTTCCTCGCGGCTTCCCTTGTCTTTTTTTGCCCCCAGCATATTTTGGACGCGTCAGAAAATATGCTGGGGGCGTCAATCTTCCAAGCTAAAAGTACTCATGCAAAGCTTTTACGCGGGAAACCAGCTCGCCGATCGCTATGCACACATCGCAGGTTCGTGCAGTGATGTCGCTGGCGCTCGCCGTCGGCGTACACGCGACGTCCCCGGTGTGGCAAGCCATTCACCACCACCACCACCACCACCACCACCACCACCACCACCACCACCACCACCACCACCACGTCGGCTTGCAGCGTGTACGCCACCACCACCACCAACACCACTAGCTCCTTGTTTGCCAACAAGCCCGACCTGCAGACCGCGGTCGACCTGTGGTTTACGAGGCGGGCTTGTTGTCGAAGGTGCCCGGTGGAGATGATGGCGGCGAGGGCGGCGGCGGGCACGTGAGCGAGCCCCACGAGTTGTAGTCCGAGGGCCACGCGCTCGTCTGCGTGCTGAAGCTGGCGTGGACGAACGCCTTGTTGCAGTCACTGAGGGATGTGGCGTCGTAGAACATGTCGTACATGTCATGGACCGCCGACACGTCCCACGAGCTGACGTCCTTGTCGAAGGAGGAGGCGAAGCGGAACATGCTGCTCATGTCGAGAACCGCAGACGTGTCCCATGAGCGACGAGGCGGCTGCCCAGGCGACGTACGGCCACATCTCGAGCTGGGACGTGAGCCGTATCACCGACATGAAGTGTTTGTTCAGCGCTGACCCGTGGTGCGAGCTGTACGGCGGCGGCGGCTCCACGACCGGCAAGGACATGTGCAACCCCGACATTGGGTCGTGGGACACGTCATCGGTCCGCGACATGAACCATGTTCCGCGGCGCCTCCTCCTTCGACAGAGACATCTCCTCGTGGGACACGCCTGCAGTCGTCGACATGAGCCGCATGTTCCGCGGCGCCTCCTCTTTCAACAAGGACATCTCCTCGTGGGACACGTCGACTGTCCGCTACATGGACCACATTTCAACGGCGCCTCCTCTTTCGACAAAGGACATCTCCTCGTGGAACACGTCGGCGGTCGTCTTCATGAGCTACATGTACATGTTCCAGGGCGCCTCCGCCTTCGACAAGGACCTCAGCTCGTGGGACACGTCGGCGGTCGGCGACGCCTCCTCCTCCCTCAGCGACTGCAACAAGGCGCTCATCCACGCCGGCTTCGACGCTCAGACGAGCGC